TTCAACCCCATTGGCAATGGGTTCCAATCCCATTTCAAAACGCCCCCTGCCAACGTTTGGGGGCAGGGCGTTGAGTAAAGACCAAGATGACGTTTTCACAATGGTCTTGCCATAATGGCATGAGAACGCCCTCCCAACGCACTTTGCAACGTCAAAATTATTTGCTGGGTCGGGGTCCCGTCACAGTAAATTATTTGGAATATTGCGTTTTATTATTCTGAAAAAGAAGGAATGAATCGTGTTGCCATGTTGAAAATCAGATTTTACCAACTTTTTTGAAATCTTGCGTATTCTTCTTTAAAAAAAAGAATGGACCACTTTTCCATGTTGAGTATCAGATATTTTTTCATCTGAATATTCCTCGAGAAATCAGAACTTGAAGTAATCTCATGTTAGGATTTCGTTGATAAATTTGGATCAAGTAACTATAGGATCGTGCCCGTGAATTAGCAAAACATGTTTGCACTTCGGGGTTTACATACAGTGCACGCAAGAGACAGCATCAGCAATCAGGACTCGTTAAATGGACGTTTTGCATGTAGAAATACACAGATATTATGGACGATTTATGCGACAATGGGGGACGCATAGATAAACGAGGCATGATGTAGTAAATAAAGAGGTGAATTAAGCTTTTTTTTTAAACCGTCACACAGAACAATAATGGAAAAGGAGCATTCAAAATATGATTCAATTTCAAGTTTCAAAAGTTTCTTTCTAAAGACGCATTATTTGGGTTTAGTTTTATAACACAGCACTGCCATTGATGACGAAAAATGGAAGGATGATGTGTGATGAGGTTTCAATAAGAGCATTTCCTTCATGACATTCTGTAATCATTTTAAGGTTTTACTGATGTATTCAAAACGTTAGAAAGTTGGGGCAGACATTGTTATAGGATCAGCTATACGAATTTATCTAACCAGAATATTCAATGTTTTCTATTTTGGAATTATGATTAAAAGCAAGTGTAAGATATTCCAAGAATTTGAACAACTTCGTTGTTTTCTGATTGATGAACGCTTCATGCCGATTCTGATGAGGGCGCAAAAAATTCAATAATACAAAAGCACATTCAATAACTACTAAAGCGTTGCCGTTCATTGATTCAAAGTTCTTGAAAAGACGACGAACTCATCACAACACATCACTTTTGATAAAATTGTTGCGCATCAAAAGTTGAAGCAAGGATCACTCTTATTCGTCTTGGATCTGTAAAATCCGTCAGATTTTATGTATTTTATAGATTTTCTGACTGCGCTTGCAAAGCTGAGAACTGATGTAACTGCTGCAATCATTTTTAAATGTACACCCAATTTCTGCAAAGATATTTAAGGAACCAGCAAACAATTTGTTGTAGAGATAATTTCGTCGCAGAAAAACTTTTCAACATGCGGGAAGAGAACCCTATGGGACCAAGAAAAATTCGTTATACTGTACAGAAAAAAAATTGTTGTAGAGTCCATCTGCACTTTCTTTGATTGTATGAGTACACAGCCGCGATTTGCGAATTATTTTCAGAGAAGCTATTTCCATCGATGAACATCATTCCAAGTTTTCCCGGCTCATCAGTATGATTTATTCATTCCGTGGTCGCATTCAGAGAAACTCCAAATGTTATAATTAAATTGTGGAAAATGATTGCTCTGTTAGCATCACGAGTTCACGACTTAGAGCTATTCATTCAGATAACCGATCAATACCCCACCGACAAATGATCTCCAGTTTCTCTCTCTATACATATTTAACACACCCAATTGATCTCCAATCTCCCCACACATTAGGGAGAAAATCCTCAAATTAATCCCACACTGCTCACTTAATGCGTGAATGAGCGGATTTACCCAAGAAGTCAGACGAATAAATGGGTTCAGCCCTATATCCTAAATACCATCTGTCTTTTCTTCTTTATTTTTGTATAGAGAACTACTGCACATAATCCGGGTGTTTCCTGATGGTTTTCTTACCTCTTGCGGAGGAACGTCGAAGGATACAGTGCGAAGGTCCACTTTCCGGTACGTGTCGATGCATGGAACTACAAAGAAAATGCCCGGCCCTTTCGCCCCTCCTCGGGACAACCTCCCCAGTCTGAAAATAACTGCTCTTTCGTACTCCTGCACCACCTATATGACACAATATGTATCACACACACAGACACAAAAATACATCATCAGTATATTATCGATTGGAAGACATCATATTCATCCCAAAGATGACCCGTCATCATTTCTGCACATCCGAGGGCTTTCCAAGATAGAAAAGACCACAGATATTTTTAGAGTACTGCTTGGACAGGATTTTTTATTGTAAAAAAAAAAGTGACATAGCCCGTGATGATGTTCCGAGGCTCTGGAATTTTTTTAGAATTTTTGAAAACGTTTTCATATTCATTGCATGATGATAAGTGCAAACGTTCCAATCACAGCCATAGTTTCCTTCCATCTCACGGGATGCGAAAATTAAGTCAAGCCAGCTGAAAAGTTGAAAATTCAATACCTTCTGACTCACTATCTTTTCTGCATTTTATACAGCGATTAATAGAAAAAAAATTAAAATTTTTATCTTGCCTCAAATTTTTTTAGCACGCCAGTGACAGGAGTGGATGAGAAATCTGGCTGCTGTAACTGGAAAGTTTTCACTCATCATTGTGCAGTAAATTGAAAAATCTTTATTAAAAATCCGAAAAAAACCCAGAACCTTAAAACATCATGGGTTATGCCGTTATTTTTTTTTTTACAATAACAACCACTCAAGAAATATCAGACATGACTTGCGCATATTCCGCGGGATCAACCAATTCGAAAAGAGAATCCAAAATCTCTGAAAAATGATTCAGAAGTTAGCTTTGCATTGTCTTCATATTCGTGAAGGGAAGAGAAAATTAACCACATCCCGTGTTTTTTGTTTCGCTTCGAAGAAACTAGAAAAGCACACTCTATTGTGAATCGCTGTGGGTGATGAAAATTGGATCCGCGGAGAGAACATGAAAAAGCTCACATAAGACGTTAACCTTTATTACGCTTTGATGTTCTCTGCGTCTTGTCGAGCAGGAATTTTCTTCTGAAAAGATGATCCCCAAGAAATGACAAGTTTCACCCATTCACCACTTTAAAAATGTAGCTTCGAGACAGCATGCTAAAAAGCTTCAGACCGAGCATCAAGTGACCCACTTCTGCTGTTATATGATTCAGCTTTTTGGCATTGAGATAATAAACGATGACCTTTGCACGAACCGAGAGAGAAATTGCGAAGTTAAGTACGTAGTCATAGACAAATAAACCCAATGTACCTCAACCTTTTTTGACTTGAGGACTGGAAAAGTTCCATGGAAATTGTGAAGATCAGCAGAAATGTTTGAAATACCGGTCATATTTATAAAGACGCCCCTCCCCCCATGAAATTTTTGCAAAATCTGATTGAAACCCCCATGAAGCAGCTACAGTGGAATTTCTTCAAAAAATTGGAAACCTGGGCTTGAAGAAAGGTTTCTCAAAAGGAAAACTTGAAACTACTCATTTCAGCTGGTGAAGATTTGTCTGAAGTATTATTATAAGAGGAAAGCCGATTTTTATTTTCATGAGATAATTACTACCGGTATTCTTTTTCCAAAATGTCAGATAAGGATAACAGACTTCATTGCTACTTTTGATGCAATTGTTTATGTGGACAAATTTTATTTTTTCAATAAATTAATTTTTTAAAGTGTCAGATAAAGATAACAGACTTCACTGCTACTTTTGATACATTTTTTGGACAAACATTTTTTGCTGACCGGCCAAAATCTTCCACAGATCCATGCTGGTCCACAGAACACGGCTTGGGGAACACTGGGATATACCATCTCATATCGGTAACACAGTAAATTGATCAGAGATCCATCAATCAAAAGATCTCATGCAGACAAAGAAAAAAGCTCTTGCCTTGATCGAATAGCACAAAGAGAACGGGAGAGTGATGACAATCAGGAAAAAGGAGAACAGTGTCAGCAGAACAGAGCATATCCCAGCTTCTTCTCCAGATCCTGCAAAGAATGAGAAGATACGAAAAAAAACACACACAAAAACACGTGAGTCTTACGAAGCAGAAACACATCATCATCATCAGCTTTCACATCATCACCACCCACTAAATCACGCATCTCAAGAATCCTCTCCACAAGCTGTACACTCAGTACTTCAACCACTTGTAAAATCTATTCAAGAAAGCGGCTGGTGACACGTCGACCATCATTCACTTTTTTTTTGTGGCAACATACAGAATAAAATAAAATACTGTACAGCATTTATGTATGTATATAATTCATCTCAGAAAGTTGGGTATACGATTTTTCACTACAAATTTCAAGGACAGAGAAAATGTTTCTGAAAGCTCTTTATTGTCGTTGGATCATGAATCATCATGAATATTTCACGAGAATTACATTGAACGAGGCAATCAATGTCCACTCGTCAATGTAAACGTTCTGAGTCAACTAATGGTTGCCTTGCCAACCGATGTGGATTACTGTAGTGTCAAAAAAGGTTGGAAACCCTTCATATCCACGCTTTTAATTCATGTCATGTATACGCAATCTCTTTCAGAAATTCGAAGATTCGCCAAACTTTTCCCACAGCCAACTTGATTCAATTTTAACTTTTGAATTAGATTTTTTCCATGTCTCGATATAATGTAATTTATAGAAATATCGGTATTGTTTCCCTCTTTCTCAGCTTGATAAAGTTCAAATTTCACAGCAACATCTCACGTAACTCGCTCACAAAAATTGAGTGCACATGGTTTCTCGCGACAACAAAAAATCAGTGTTATTTCCGCTTTTGAAGAAGTTTCTTTGGAAACTTCTCACTGGAAGACCTGTACATGTTTCATTCCCAAAATATTTTGACTGGCCCGATTACCATATTGTGTTTCAAATCAGAATGAATTTTTGGTTTCACAAATACGAATTGAAATATCTCGAAAAATATTATGTATATACGTAACAATAATTAAGATTATAAGCTGCTCATTGACAAGCAGCTTGAAAAACTATATATTAAACTTTGCGGGGAGAATTTGAAACGAAAAGTTCGAAAGCCCAGCCTTTTTAAAGCTTTCATACACTTCTGAAAGATTTTTCTTTGCGCTGGATAATTGAACATGAGCCACACACACACAGAGACAAAAGTAGAATGATGAGACATTTTAAAAATATTTCGTGTAAATATAGATCGATATATATTTTTTTGTATATCTTTGGTTATGGGAAATTCGACCAATAATAGCACGAATACGATTCTGTATTTCACAGAGCTTGGATAATATTGAGTTTTTCATTTTAAATTTTTGGTGATTCGTGCGTAGTAAAGTAGTATAGAATCTCGTTACAGCAAAGCACTCGTCGGGACTTGTTTATGGACGAAAATTCGTTAAAACGAAATTAAAATTGACATTGTTAATATTGGACATGCAGGGAACGGAACAAAAATCAGTCGTACTCCTTAATTCGTTACGATGAGATTCGTTGTAAGGATGAGATTCTACTAAATATTGTGCGCATTAAACTTTTTCTTTCGTCCTGAAACTGTACTCTTTCAATCGAAATTCTCCGGGGTTCCGGGTACAATGAAAAATGTTTCCTTTCTATAAGCGTATGCTGGTGCACACTGCACAGTACTATTGTTTGATGTTATTCTGAATTTCAGAAACAAGTTTATATGATGCAATGCACATCAAGTACCTCTCGTCCAAGTGAAATCGGGCTGAGGTTCCCAAGTCTTAACAACACTCGCTGAACTCGACAAGGGGCCCTTGATTGTCACTGGGTGAGGAACCGAGGCCTTTGGCACAACTGGTCCCGACATCCCTGAGGGTGTCCCAGACACGCCCTGCTGTTGCTCTCGCTGCTGCATTATTATCTGCTTACCCAATTGTGCACACAGCTCTTCATTCTCCCCTCCGCGTATATATGAGAGGAAAGAATACGATGCGATATATAAGGAGATTATTATTTTTTTCTCCCGCTCCCGAATTCCTCGTCCGAAGTTAAAAAAAAAATAATAATAAAGAGAGAGAGATGAAATCCATCCGATTCCCAGAAATTGCCCGTTGACTTGATTCTACACGTTGCTTCTCGTTTCCAAAAATAAAAAATGCAAACAACCATATATACATCAGCAGTGGGACCCCGACATACGGACAATTAACATCAAGGACGTTTAACGCTTTATTGCTGGGCAGCGCTGCCGGGATACATTTGCACAATTTTGTGCCAAATGTCAAAGGAAAAAATAAAGAAACACCAGCAAGCATGAGCTGAAGAGCCCAAGTCGCAAAAAATTCAATTTTTTTAGCCTTCCAGCTGAAGAAATATTTTCATTAAAAAATACATTACTGTATCAGGAGGTTTTTTTTGCATTCCTGCAATATGATTACCATTATTGAGTGATTATGAAAACAATGGTTTTCCCTTTCCCAGATTTTTCCTGATTTTGGCTATACTCAGCCACATCTACATTCTGCTGACCTTTGGTCAAATCAAAATGCAGAAACGTGCAAAAATTTGCTGGCAGCACTGATGCTGATGTACAGAATCGTATGTCAAAGATATTATTAATCCTTTAAAAAATCGGCCCTGACATCTGGACAATGTCCCAAGGAACAAAATTGTATCCAGTATGTATTTTTAGAAAAATGTAAAATTGTATTTCTCAACATTTTCGATATATTGTATCTTGAAATTTTTAAATATTTACGCATATGTTCACAAAAATTTAAAATAAATGTTATTATAAAATGACGCTAATTCATGATCACAAATATGCCACACTTCTGTATACTTCTTCCGATTTGAAGTAATTTCTATCATTTCTTCACATTACTGTGTAGCAAGACTTATTCACAATTACAGCATTTTATTTTTGAGTTCCGTTTGATGCCGAAGGATCCAATCCAGCGTAGTTTTCTTCCGCACAATTATTTTCTGTTTCTATAAAACTTGAGGGAAACAGTTTTGATTCAATGTTTCGGGTGACTTATTGCTAATATTCGATGAACAGGAGAACCAATCGAATATTATATCATTAAATGCGAAGGGAAAATGGGATCCAACACATGGATGCTCCAAAATCGGAACAGGATCCAATTTCCAATTAAGTCCGCATCTTAGGGCCCCACTTTCACCAATCAGGAATAGATTTTCTTCCTGAGACCTGTATTATATGTACTTGTACATATAAACACTGCGGAAAGAGGGATCAAAAAATGAAATAAACCTGGGAGCAGATGTCAGTACAGTTTCTCAAGGGAATAACCAGCAGAGCACTGCTTCAAGAATCCACCAGGGGGGGAAGGGAAATCTGCACGCAGAAAGACCCACACTCAGCCACACACTGATGCTGACAGAACCCAGGGGAATTCTTAGCCTCAAAAAATGCCCCTCCTTTTGCCTCAGCAGCTCAGGAGCCATGGGTTTATTTTTGTTCCAACAGCCTTTTTTCCACATTTGCGTGCAAAAAAAAAGCTGGGTTCTGCGATTATATGCACATACCGGAGAGGATAGTGCAGAAAAAAAAGGGGGGCGAAGTGCAGGTAAAGATTCTTCAACTCCTGCGCCTTGCATAAAGCCTTGAACCTCGAGCGAGTACAAATGATCGCTTCGGAATTCTTTACTTGTCATCACATTTTCCCAGAACATTTCGATCAAAAGAGACCGGTTCCAGACGCAAAAAAAAAAAAATGTCGCAGAAGCATTATTCTTCAAATAATCTAAACGTGGAAAGCAGAATTTTTCAGGCAAAACTTCATTTTATGTTCCATTTCCTTATTATTAATTTTTTTAGATTCTCTCTACGGCGAGATTTCGACCCCTCGGGATTTGCACGAGCACCCTTCACCTCAGCTGGGTTCAAAAATATTTAAAAGCAGTGACGAGGTGGTCCAATTTTTTTTTTTAATGTAATTGCGAAGGAGAAGAGGGTGAACCGGGTTCTCCCGCTGTTTTCTCTAGAGGCAAGGAATTTCCTCCGGATGTTCTTTTTTTTTTTAAGCCGGGTTACGAATTTCTTTCCGGAATGATCCCACTGTCTTTGGTTAGGTGTTTCCTGATCCGGAACCCTGTATATTGCGGTATTATCTCCTGGATAGCTTTCATGTCGTATTCAACTCAGTTACGAGGCTAAGTCCCCATGGATTCTTCCATAGGGAATCACACACGGAAACCAGGAAAATAATGCGCAGAGAAAAAGCAAAATCACACTGCTGCTGGTGTTCCATATCTATTTTTCTTTCTTTATTTTTTTGCATCTGCACGGAATCTATTGCATCTGAGATCATGTCTTGTTTGATCCGCAGTGAAAACAAAAGTGAGATTGAATATCAGATGAAAGTGAGATTCGGTTACTGCTTCTGTGGAATTAAAGCTGATCCACATCAAACGTCAGAATTCGGATGTAGATTCAATCAATGATGACTGAGGCACTAGAAAAACCTTTTTTGTTTACCTTTTCTATCGGCAAAACAAATCTTTGACTCATTTTTAGTATTTTTTTTATTTAAATTTACTTTCGTACGTATGGATTTAACCACCCAAGCTTTTACAGTATTGGCATTCTTAATATAGTTATCAAATACGCGATAATATAGTTGAGACGGTGTTAAACATTCTATAGGTTTAAAATCAAAAATAAATACTGCACTGTAAGAGAAAGAAAAGAAAATACTTTTGTTTGCAGTAATACCCTGAAAAGAAAGTAAGTTTATTCCACAGTTGAATTTTTCAGTCAAAGAAAGGCCGCGTAGAAGATGATAATTTTGGAATAGGAGTTCTGAAAATACGAAATAAACTCAGTAAATGCTGACTATACAAACATATTGAAATCCAACTTCTCGGTTCAAATTTCCCACAAATATAACACAGATAAGGGGTATTATACAATATATTCTCGCAAATAGATTTGTGAGAAACCATTATAATTCCAAATGTGAAAAAAGCAATTTTCCCTGTAAGTTCCATAAGTTCTAAGAATAATTCCATTCAAATCATTGGAGTGTTATATAGTTGACCTCGTTCAAGATAATCTTCTGGAGCATGATCTCATGCAAGAAAAACATTCCCATATGGACCATGCGACTGCGTATATAGAGAGAGTCATTCTACTATATACAGAATAGAGCACGGATATAAACAAGGTTCATCCCGCTGGAATGTTTGTCTTCATCCGAAAATGAAATTCCGTGGATTGTTGACATGTATACCCCGCTGTTTGTGTCTGGCGGGGAATTTCATTTTCTTGCCTTTCGTGTGCTGGTAGAAATAAAGCCGTTCGTGTCCTGAATGCCAACATTAATATAATTCGTCTCTCCCACAAAAGTCTACAGCGTAATTATTTCCAATCTACTTATTTTCTAGAAAAAAAGACCGTCGTTCTTTATTCAGTCCATTTCAGCACGATATGCCTAGGCAAAAGGCATTGAAGACGATCTCATATTTTCTGAATTTAACAGAAAGGGGCATGAAGAACAGACTATCTCTCGCATGTCTCCTGAGCAATTGCATTAATCGCGGTGAAAAAAATTTACTGTAAAATCGAAGTTCACTCAGTTCTCTTCAAAATTACACGTGGAGTATTTTCACAACGAAATTCCGAGGAACCAGGAAAAAATCGCTGTAGAGAATGTTTTCGGAAAAGCCGCTTGGCTGAAGAGCACAGTGCTGAATGAGGGCATGAAATCTCTGCCATTCGCGTCGTTGGCAGTAGTGTACCTTCTTTTGGGCATGGGCACACGACAACGAACAGAAAAGACATCAGTTCCAGTGAAATCATATTCAATAGACAGAAGAAACACGGTGTCACAATGATTATTTTTTTTACTCCTCACAACAGAGGTTGATTTTTTCTTCCTAGGCTCTTTCGTCATTCTCAAACTCAGATATTTTGCGTCGGGGTTTTTTTTTTGCACAAAAACGCTGAATTGTATAACTCAGGTTGGAGTTTCGAGAAGTTTCGTTCATCCTGCTGCGAGAAAATGCGGAATTCTCGAATCTTGAAGATAATTCGTGGTTTTCTGCAGTGAGAGAAGTTCAAAGCATATTTTGAATTGTCATTGCGAGCAGTCCCATGCATTTATATTTATGATTCTTTGCCATAGGTCTCATTCTTAATAATACCTGGGACACTGGACAAGAAGAGGATATTGATGAATCCGACGTGGATACAAATTGTGTATGATTGTCGTATTGATTCATACGTTTTGTTAGAAGACTGTTGGAAAAGGTTCTATAGGGAACCTCTCAGAATATTCAGTGAAAGAAACCTACTTAAATTTTCTACAAACTTGTTGGAGCATCCATTGTCCAGGGAAATTGGAATGAACTCCAAAATTATGATGGCGGTCAAACACGTGACGAGCTTCAATTGAATTCTATTTTAAACTTGCAGATAACGGAGATGGCAGCATGTTACTATTTGTTTACTTGAAAAATTTTCTCATGAGAAGTTTAAAAATTGTATATCATTAGCAAATGTTCAAATATACCTCAAGGATCACATCATTCCTGATAGATAAGTTTCTTATTTCAACGTCGGGCAAGAATCGAAGAATTTTCATGTGAAATCCTTCCCCATTCCTGAACTAAAGCTAGAATTGCAGCTTTTTTGTGAGATATAATGCGACTCGTTCTGAAAAAATCTCACATTCCGTACAGAATTATGACTAAGAATTCCTTACACCTTCATTCCAAGCTAGAAAACATACAGATAACATCAGTAGCTTCTGGTGAAAAAAAAATTATGGTTTCAGTTTGAGCAACCATTTGCAGCTCCTGGGAAATGAGATAGGAAATTGGAGAGAGCCTCTACTGGTTGCCCATGCAACCAACATACGAGGCTCTCTCTAATCCTTCCTTTCTTTT